TTTCTACGTCTCAGGTGAATACGGGGCGACCAACTCAACTGCTACGAAAATGCTCGCGCGCGACGAGCACAGAAAATAATGAAGACGTGAACTTGCACGGTTTTTTTTAGCTTAAAAAATTTGTTTCCTCTCTCTTTGCATTCATCAATCTTGTAGTACTACCATATATATATATATTTTTGCGGGGAAGTTCCTAGCAGATAATAATAGGCTGGTTTGGCTTACTATTTTCCCTTTTACATTCGTATGAATTACTGTATTTATATGGATCGTCAGCTGGAGACGACGTGCGAGTGAACGCTTGGTTCGATCGAAAAACCCCTATTCTGTTTGCTGGGATTAATCCTCCCGAACGAAACCAACTCACCGAGAGCCTCTCCGCTAGGTCAATTTTTTTTACGCTACAACACGGGCAAGGAAGAAAAAGGCCAAAAAAAGACCCAGCTTTAGCACCATAGAAAAAGGCCTTTGAAACTAAAATATTTTTTTGCCATGTGTATAAACGAAAATTTGCCAAATAGCAAGCAAAAAAATTGCATAGCTCTGAAAAATTAATTTGCCAAATACATATAAATACCAAAGTACAAGGCAAAATTTCTGTATCAAAAAATAACATTTTCCATCAACAAAAAAATAAAAATATATTTCCCGTCATATATAGCATGATTTTGCCAATTGCATGTAAAAACACATACAAAAAAATTGTTTAATTGCCATGATAGTAATAAAATTGCCAAGGTCTGCATAATAAAGTGCAATGCTAGCTACAATAAAACTATCATTGTCTAAATTAAGGGTAAGGTACAATTGCACATTGAATTTTTGAAAAGTAGGAATTCGTTCATTTTGGAAAAAAAAGATGGCTCAATTAGGGGATATATTATAAAAAATTACCATGATCAAGATACTAAAATTGCCACGACAATAAAAATAAAATAAAAATGCCATGATCTTAAAAATAAAAATAACATGATTTACATATTGTCTTCTCATAACATAAGATCACAAGAAATTTGCTGCAAACCAACATGTGGTTGGATGGTTAGGAGGACAATGGTATCCCCAACTCACTAGGGAACCTTGATTGCGAGGCGCATGTGGTGACTTCGTAAAATCTCAAGATTTTATGCTGGCTCAGTCTCTCGAGGTGCTCGTAGGGGTACAGTGTGCGTGCATGCGCTCATATGGATGACTGTATGATCGTGCATATGAGCGACTTCGATTGTACTCTGTATAGAAGAAGGTGCCAAGCAAAAGAAGCTTCATAAATATGCAAAATACTTCTTTTAAGTTGACATAATTTTTTTGCCATGTGAGTTCTTAATTGTTTTGTGATCATCTAAAAAATTAATGGCGTGTATTCTAGGTGTAAATAAAATTACCATGGTATAGATAAAAAAAGTCATGCTCTATATACAAGCAGGTGCCAAGTAAAAGAAGATTCCTTAATATGCAAAAGACTTCTTTTAAGTTGACATAATTTTTTTGCCATGTGAGTTCTTAATTGTTGTGTCATCATCTAAAAAAAAATTAATGCCATGTATTCTAGGTGTAAATAAAATTGCCATGGTATTCTGTCCCATGGTAGCCATAAGTAAAATGCCTTGGTCAACATAATTGCCATGGTGTTTTAAATACATTTGCCATTGTAGGCATAAATAAAATGCCATGGCCAATGCAATAAGAATGCCATGAGAACAATTATTAAAAATGTAGTATAAACTTACAAAAGTTGCCTATGGGAAAAACATTTGAAAAAAGTTTGCCATGCATAATTTATAGCTTAAAAGGCAGCAAATTGCCATGAAATTAGCATATATAGATCGAATACAAAATAAGATTGCCATGACACATCTCTATATGTATTACAAAACTTAAGGTGGCTTGGCAAAAAGATCTTAATTTTTTGACATCGTAACTATATAAAGTCATGAAAATTGAGTGGGGGTAGGTTCAAGGGAGAGGTGGAAGCGATCGAACAAACGACCTATATACTTAGAGATGTATATCTCTTAGCGTTATCTCTGCCAAACAGATATCCCTAAATATGTGGTGAGAGATTTCTTGCTAAGAGATCATGTGTTAATTAAGAAAAAAGGCAAACCTTTCTTTAGCTTTCTCTTTCCTCCATCTTAGCATGTATTGTAGATGGCACTTCTAAGATGGCATCATTGTGCATGCTCTAATTAATTTGCTTATTAGTATGGCCCAGTAGCCCCTACCTCATACATCTACTCGTGAAAATACAGGATCTTTTTTGAAATGTAACACACATTTGTCTTTTTGTATGCCCATTTTTGTTTCTTTCAGCATACTATAGCTAATTAAAAAAAACTATGTCAAATCTTTTATCGACTTAGTAAAATAAAATGACACATGGATCAATCCTAATTTCCAAAGTTTGCGACGTTAGTTGGCAGCAAACTAAATGGCAGCACAATGATTTTTCTTTAATTTTGGTAGGAACATTGGCTTTTAAGCCAAACAAGAACAACTTACCATTTTTTTTGGAAAAATAAAGGAGGTAGATTTTTTTGGATTTATGGTTAAAGAAGAAAACATGGGTTTTATTGAAATTTAAGTATTCAGTTTCACCAAAAAGATACGGAGACCTGCTTCACATTTGGAATTACACAAAAAAGATTTTTCATCAGAAAGAGGTCTACAATGACTTTTGGGAAAATTTCGAAGTTTGCTGGCTTATTTGGCAAAGAAATTAGAGTACGTTATAAGAAATTAATAGGTCAGTTGAATATTAGGGAGCAATAATTTAACCATTCAATTTTTTTTTCTTGTTTTCTCTTTTTTAGTAGTCTTAGATTTTTCATTTTGATGAGCCTCGCCATGACCAAAAAATTGGTGGGGCTTCTTTTTTAGGGATATAAAAAATTGGTGGGGCTAGTTGGGGCATAAACCAAACACACCCCATGACAATAAAAAAAAAGAAAACCAAACACACCCGAAAGCTTTTCTTTTCTGCAGAACTAGCCCAGTTGCTGGCGCGGGCTCATTTCTGGGCCTCGATTGCATGGGCCGAGCGGGCTAGCGCTACCACGCTAGCTAGCGGAGCTCCTTTACCTCAAAAAAAAAAAAACTAGCAGACCTCCTCTTACTCCCGTGGATGCTCTGCTCGAACCCCACCACATCGGAGATCGGAGACACGTCGCCGGCCGGCCGGGATCCTCCGTCGCAGTTGTCGCCGTCCTAGTTCCTCCCTCGAAGCCACCTATCCATCCCCGATCGGCCGCCGTCGGGCTACCGCGGTCGACGCTCGACGGACTAGTCTGCCTTTCTTGGATGGCGCCGGAGACGAGAGCCGGCGAGCGGATAGGAGGAGGAGGGGGAGGGAGGCCCGCGCTTTGGGGACGGCGCTCTTCGGCGTTCTGGAGCCGAAGAGGGGAAGTGGGGGGAGGCGCCGGCCGGTGGCCACTCCGTTAAGTGCGTGCACGGCTGTGCTAGGTACCACTGCAACCCGAGTTTTTAGTCCCACATCGCCGATTTAGGTGCAATTCGGCGGATTTATAAGAAAGTAAAAAAAGAAAAATTCACAGTCTCTTAAAATGGCCGTAAAGGGGAGTAAGGGGGGTTTCAAAATTCCACAGTCTCCTTACAAAAAAGAAATTAAATAGAAATAAATTCCTCTCCAAGATTTTTTTTACTGTAATTTTGAGACGGCGACTAATTTATGTGCCACTTTTGTTCGGTAATTCCTCTTTCAGTCCTAGATTCACTTTTGTTCGGTAATTTGTCATGAGATTAGTAGTAAGAATCCTACTGTGATTTCCTACAGATTTTTTTCCTTTGCAAACCACCTTATGCCGTAGACCCCTCATTCAAAATACCTATGTTTCTGTCTATAAGAAAAAAATGCCTTGCCTACCTGTTTTCCTTTACATGTTATATCGAATTTTGGTCGTAAGATACTTAAATGGTCGTGCGAAAGCTATTACGGCTCTGTACGACATTGTTGTGGCTTTTGGAAGCACTTATTATGTTTTCTACTTTAGGATGCACAAATAGTTAAAAGCATGTTTGTTCGAGCAATAACAGCATCAAACTGGGATTAGTAAAGATTCAAGCAATTAACTAGATTCCACTGCACAGTACATCATCCACAAATTGACCCTAAAGCAAATATATGCCACTTATTTCTCCTTTTTTTTGGTCAGATGGTGTATTTGAACTGTAAGAATCTGGTGTGCAAGCTGTTCTGAATCTTACTGAGATGTTCTTAACTGAGCATATCTCTGATTTCGAAATACTGTCTGGGCTTGCTGTAGCTGTTGTTTCTTATGAATCCAAGACCTTTGCTATTGAAGTTCAGGTACTACATATGATGATCATTCTCGAGTTGTGATTTATTTTCCTTCCAACAATTCATACTGTTTATTTTGTCTCCTAGTGTAATAGTATCATGTTGAGCTTAATTTAACTTGTCATTTACCAATAAAATCCATCTTTCATTGCATTTATCAGAGAGATTGACCTTGGCGGTGAACTTAGAACTGTAAGTTCCTATGATTTTCTGCTTTGCGTGACCATGTATTGACTGCAGATATTCTATGTTGGTATTTGCGGCTTAAAGGAAAGAGCTTGTGTTTGATAAGGGTAATATGCATTTAGAGGAAAAGAATAAAGACATGAATTTGGAAACAGGATAATCTCTGTTCAAAATTCAGATAAAAAAATCAGTTTCAGAGTTTATCAATCCATTGCAAGTTTGTGAAGCTGCCCATATTGTAACTTTTTATATATGTTCATTACTCTCCACACAAAGTACAGCATTACAATAGCACTCAGCTTAAAATATATATACTATACACAATGCACCCATTCTTCTCTCTGTTAGCTCTGCTGTTAACAAGTGTATATGTAACTCACTATGTACAGTGCATCTAACTCAAAACTGAACAAACAATAGCTGCTGTCTATCTTTGCTAACAGAAATGCTAACAGATGAAGGTGGCGCACAACCTCGGACTCTGTGTAGGGCAAGGTATCTAGTACTGTGGCATCTCAGCAGGGACAGTTGGGCTAAGAAAGGATTCCCAAGGTATGTTGCACTTCCAGTCATCTGAAGAGTCTGCTCCTAAATCGAATGGGAAGTTGAGTCTCCCCGGAGCCTCCAACTCATTGTTCATACTGAAAGTATTGCCATGCTTCATTGTGGATGACTCTTGGTTCCTGCAGCTCATGCCGGCATTTACATCTGCAGAAGAATCAGCCAGAAATCCAGTGATCTGCTGCTCAGGCTGCCCAAACTGCATGTTGAAGAGCGGTGGTGCAGTGTGCACGGGCTTCTGTGATGTCTGTGTTTGGAATGGCAAGATGGTGGGACCTTCCAGTTCCAGAGATGGACTGCAGTTGAAGCTTATGACCTTGCATGAAGAGCCATCCTGTGTGTTGCTGGGTTTCTGAAGCTGCTGCTGTCCCTGGAACCCATGTTTGCTGTTGAACTGACTTGCTGGTGCCTCTGCAACTTGCAATGAGCGGGAGGAGCTCTCCGAAGCAAAATGTGAAGCTTGCATCGGTTGCATTGCGGAGAAGAGATCTTGCTGAGTTGTCCCAGGCAATGGAGGCCCCCAAGTGTGAGACAGCACCATTTGCTGTGCCATCGAACTGGTCTTCTTGAAGATCTTACATATGGTCCAAGAGTCCTGTTTTGGGCAACAGAAAAGTGACCTTAAGAATTTGACATAACATTTGAATTTAGCTCTGTAACTACATAATATGAATTGAAATGCTTACGTTGAGCGGGATGTTCTTGTCGATCGGTCTCTTGGGAAGTGATGGATCGGTTAGCGAAGGAAGCCTGAACTCATGCATCATCCAGTCGGTTTTGATCCCTCTTGCTGCCCTACCTCTGTAGAAGACAAGGGACTTCTTCAGGCCTATGCACCTGGTGTCTTCGGAGGAGTAGATCGGCCTGTCTGTTCCTGTGGCTTTCCAGAACCCAGCTGCTGTGACTCGGTTTGGCCTCGCGCTGTTGCGATATTTCCGGTCCCTCGGGCAGTAGAAGTACCAGTCCGTCTCACCGGTGCTCGCAAGCTCTGTCGTTGAGAAGGGATATGGAAGTTAGACTTTGCAGCAGTAAGGTGAGTAATCCATCTATGTACTGTAGGCTAGCTTGTGATGAGAAGATGGTCAATACTACTACTGATTTCGTTCAACTGAACCTCCAGTGAACGGATGAGCCCAAGACTTTCTTAACTAAAGATTAAGGGTGAAACCAACTTATGTTGAATGAGCATCCTAATTCCTAGCCTCTCCTTGGAAGATACTAGTACAATCTTTGGAATTCTCAAAAGTCAATTGCGTCCAATCTGTTAAAGAGAGAAAAAAAGATGTATAACAAGGAGAGGTAAGAAGATGCAAGCTTACTTGGGAGGTCCCACGGGTCAAACTTGTAGATGTCCAGCTGCCTGATGAGCTCAATAGAGATAGGCTTTTGCTGGATCTTCTTCTTGAGGTAGAAGCTAACGAGCTCTTCATCGGTAGGATGGAACCGGAACCCCGGCATGATGATCTCTTCTGATTTGTCCATGTTGACATCATTTATGCCCTCCATTGTAAGTAATCTCACAAAGGCTAGCTTGTGCAGTAGTGAATGGCTTCTTGGGATGAAGCTGCTGAGCTGAGGTGAAGACAATCACCGGCCGAGAGGTGTACTTATATGCTACCTGGAGCGACTGGATGAGGCCCACAGGTCTGAAGGGTCCTGTTCTTCCTTTAATAATTCCTTTTAGTTCATTCTCTGTTTGAAAGCTGCCAAGATTAGTTTAATGCTGGATTAGTATCTCAACTAAGACAGGCCGCGCTGCATGAAGAGATGGATGCCAGTCACTTTCAGTTCACACTTAGAATACTCACGCACGGCAGTAAAAACATTCTTAAACTGTAGTACAGCAACACTTGCCTTGTAGATTTAGTTTTGATTTTCTGTTTTCATCTTTTATTAGCCTCCCCAGATAAACGAAAAAGACATGCAATTCCAGTACGCGGCAATAACCGACCGAAACTATAAATGCAAATCTTATTGAGCACCTTTAGCTTTATTAACAGCAATGAATATATATATTTTTGTTGTCAGTGAATATTGATGTTCTTTCAATACCTGAAACGAAAATTCTCCGTTTCATGTGAGTGCTAATGGTAATCTGTACTTTTTTCTCGAAAAGGAGGATAACCCCGGACCTCTGCATCAAGCGATGCACACAGCCATTCTTTATTAATTATTGAACAAAGCCTTACAAAGTAATACATCAATGAGTCTGAAGCCACCCTCCTGGCAACAACTGTCGCTACTCCTACCAACATGATGAAGGAGGTGCACATAATGACTGCTAACAGTAATCTGTACTTAATTAGTCTAACTTTTGATTCTCCGTTTTATATGCAGTTCCCTAATTAGTCTAGGTTTTGGGCATTACATAATGTGAGTGCTAACATTAATCTGTACTTAATTAGCATAACTTTCAATGTCCATGCGTGTGTGTGTGTGTTTGTGAGAGAGAGACAGAGAGATAAGAGTCCTACTGACTGATTACCCAGAGATAGTGATGGCCTTACCAGTGTAATTTCCTTGCACTTTTTAATGAAGTAGCGTGAGGTACCCTGCTAGCTGAGTGTTGGAGCAGAAGATTCTTAGTAAGGACAGTTTTGTAGACTAAATAAATTTTACTAATCGCCTGAGTTGCCACGGTGGAAAGCCGGTCCAATTTGCTCCAACAGCTAGTCAACTTTTTTTGCTGGTCACTCCACACGGCACAGTTGTTTCTTGCCCCGTTGCACACTCCAGAAAGTAATGATGATCTGTCTATTCTGTTCTCAGGATCCACATGACGAACCGGGGAAGGGCCGTCTTCGATGACATCAGACCCGCTTGATCGACACTGTCAAGGCGGCAGAGACAGGGGTGTGGGCTCGATGGTCGGTAGGCAACGATTGTTCCGGCTAGCTCTTGTAAACCTGGGTCATCCTTGTTGGTGTTGAACATTTTTTGTTTCTCTCGTAAGCTTGTAAGCTTTCTTGTTTCTCTCGTAAATCGACTGTCGGTGGACCATGTTTTCTTCATGCACATGAGACATCTGACACTGCATCAGCAAACTCAAACAAACTTGACGCCAAGTTTATTTTCCTGGCCGACACAACGTCAGCAAACTGAAAGGATTTTGATCAAGGTCCGTCAGTTATTTATTCCTGACAGACTGTTCAAATTTTTGTGCGGAAACTGATACATCGTCCTGTTTTTTCGAAGTTAAAGGCACTGCAAGCAAGCAAATGGCCGTGAGCATGATCAATTAATCTTCTCACTCTGCAACTACTAAGCAACTACTTGGATCTTCAGAGGTAACCCTGGCTTCCCGAATGAACTATTCAATGAAAACTAACGCCGTAATTCAGTAAATCAAAGTGCACCGGCTGAACAGAGCTAGCTGATTTTTCCACATTCGAAGCACAGTCATCAGCAACCTGGTACCAAGCACCCAGGGTTCGAAAAGGCGGTCACAAATTCCCTTAAATTTAACCAACAAGAACTGTGCATGCAGCATTCATCCCAGACAACAGATTCTAATGCAAAGGTAACCAGAGACAGCATAACTAACTAGGATCAGTTCCAAGAGCATTAAGAAGTCTCAGACACTTAATTAAACAGATTCTGGCCCACAAGACAGAGATCCACACAAGTTACTACGATAGCAAGCAAAACAGCAGCTAGTTTAGTGCTGAACTGAAAGCAACAAGTTGCCTTGAGATGCTAGTAATGAAGCACTTAGTTTGCATTCTTGATAATGCTCCAGATAACGCAGCACCACCAAAGCTCTCCCTGCCACTGCGGCCATCAACAGCCTGTGTCAAGGAAAAGTTGACAAATGTCAGGCTCCATTGCAGCATATGAACAGCATCCTGCATGCCCAAGCCCAAAAGAATCAAAATAATTGTCCTCACCATTTAATCGCAACGGAGCATCCGAAATCGGAAGACCCCTAGCATTTCTTGCTGCCACCTATATTGTCCATAAAGAAGAAGATTGGAGTTGTATACAGCGGCATCATTACTAGGGAAAAATTCAGACGTGCTATAGTGAGATGAACTCTCTGAGTTTGTCAGGGAGGGACAGACCTAGTGATGCAGCGTTCAGGAATGCCTCGTCTTCAGGGAACAGCTGCAGATTCTTCGACTTCAGCAGGTACTTGACAGCATCGTCCTGGAAGTCCACCAGGCTGCCGACCTTCACGAGTTCAGCAAGCGAAGGGATGCGGTCTGGCGTCTCAAACAGCAGTCCTCGGGCTATCTCGTCAGCAAAGTTCGTCGCAAACTCGATCTTCTCTTTGTAACCAGCTGCAGCACCAGCACCATTGCTTTGCTGAACATACAGCTTTGAGCTCTCCCTCTCCCACCTGATTATCCGGCTGGCCTCCACGTCCACAGCCTCTCCGGAAGACAGCTTCACGCGGTACCCCACCATGATCGGCTCCTTGGTCTCCAGGACGCTCACATTCAGCAGAGATGAGACCATCGCGTGCCGCTCTTTGGAGGAAATGTCCAGAGCAGGATCAGCAAGGAAGGCAAGGACTATCTGGAGCAGACCGGCACTGATCACCTCACGCTGGTCAGCAACCGTTTTGCAACCGCCATCCTGGCCCAAGGTGACAAAAGAATCGCTCTTCTTGACAGCTTTGGATACTGCCTGAACACCGATGCTGCCATATATGTTGTTGAGCCTTGCTCGAGAGACGGAAGGAGGGTACCAGATAAAAATGGATTGTCGAGGAAGCTTGTCGAACAGATCCTTAAGCAGCAGATCGTCAGGAATGAACACGTCCTCCTTCTGCGATAAGATGATCTTCCCATCAGTGCAAACTGGGACCTTCACGCAGCCAGAGAAAAGCCTCTCCATGCTCTCGCTCCAGTTCCTTGCCATGAATTGCCAGAAAGCAGAGCAATTGGTTACGGATATCTCACCGCCAGAGCTCTCCCATGCGCTCCAGAGCTTACAGTGGTCTTCGGCATCAGGGCCATGCCTCACGCTGAAAACAGATGAGAAGAACTCCAGCAGCTTCCTGTCATCATAGTATCTGTCTAGGACATGCAGCTGCTGGCTGAAGAGGTTGTTCTGATCATGAAGAACACAGCTCAGCGGGCTCACCCATTCTCCACTTCCCCTTTTATTTGGTATCCAAATCCAGTCAGTGCCCTCTTTGTTCTTCTTCTCAGGCTCCCAGCTGCACTCCTTGAGGTACAAGTAGATCCTGGAAATGGTAGCAGTTTCTTTGTGGCTCCTCAGATGCTGAGCAACAAGGCCATGCCCACATCTAACATCCACAGTTACTCCGATTGCCGCCAGTGCATCCTTGAATGAGGCGATCTCTGAACCATAGAAAGATTCATCGATGAAAGGGCCATCTGTTATGCAGATGGAAGACTGCTTGGGATCAAAGAGTATGCATCCATCAGGAGATTGGTATCCAAGTGTTGTCTTCAACCACTTGCAGCTAGTGATTTCCTTCATAAATTCCTTGGGCAATGTTGCCATACAGGCCAAGCAGCTCTTAACAGACCCAAGCAACGACAACACGGTGGCTGCAGAAATATCTGCAGTGTCTGCAGGAATCTTGAGACCATCGATGACAAACCTAGCACCATGGGCTTTCACTTCTGTTGTAACACCTAGTTCTTTCAGCTCAGCCTTGTAACCATGTATCTCTTTGCCTAAACCACCATTAGAGTCACCATCATTGATGAAAGGTAATTTTGCAATGGGTGACAGAGACTGCCAACTTTCGTCAAATAAGATTGCATCCGAAGGTGACCTAAATCCCAGTGATGTGCACACCCATTTCTCATTTCGCATGGAGTTGAAAAGATCAACAGGATTTGGGTTGTGTGTTCTCAGCTGCCCATAACATGCTAGCAGAGCCAGGACATTCGCCTTTGTAAGCGATGACTTCTCCATCTGCTTGAAAATGTTTGCTATAGCCTTTGATGCCTGGTCAAATCCTGTGATCAACCCTGTCTTCTTCAACTCTTCTTTGTACGGGCTTATCTTACTGCCATAAAATCCAGAATCAACTACAGGAACTCCATCGAACACCTTTACCAGGCACTCCCATTCTGGATCTAGAAGAAAAGATTCACTAGGAGCACGGAATCCCACATTGGTCTTCAACCATTTCAAATCTCTGAGCTTCCTCAAGAAATCATCACATGGGCTAGCATACCGGATGCACTTGAGGATTAGTGCAGTAGCATCAGAAGTGATAGATGAAGAACTGAACTTGAAATTATCAATTATAAGCTTGTAAGTCTTTTCACTGTTTTCAAACCCAACTTGAACACCAAGCAACTTCAGCTCTTGTTTGTAGTCAAGGATGGACTCGCCATAGAATCCAACATCAAGGAATGGCTGGGTACTGATACAAGATGCAACTGCCCAGTCTGAATCATATATGATACAGCAAGAAGGGGACCTGTAGCCCAGAGTACTCTTCATCCATTGTCCATCTTTCACGCTGTTGACTAGTTCACTTGGTGACAGAACCTTCTGTTGAAGAAACCGAATCAGCC